TATCAAAGTTGTTTTACTTCAAACTGTTTTACAAACTCTTTTACTTATCAAATACTTTTACTTAAACTTTGTTATACTTATTATAAATTGCATGCCCATATATGTATAGTTATATAAGAAATGTTTAAAAGGCTTATGAAGGCCGTCCTCCCTATTTCCTTTTTGCGCTTGAGATGTGGTCTATTGGGATATCGGGTAGCCGTTCGAAGGTCGTTTCAATATTAATTATATATCATGTGTACATATATAGTCATAAAAGTTCTTCCAAATTCATACGTACCAGTTACTTCATTAGTGTGTTACTATATAGGTAGCATAGGATAATACTTATACAATTGCTAGATCAATGAGATGTTCAATGAGTCAGTACTTATTACTATGAGAACATATACAACTATACTAGAAGAATAACATATACAACTATACTAGAAGAGCATATACAATTATACTAGAAGAAGAACATATGCAACTATACTAGAAAGAGAACATATACAACGATACTAGAACGAGTAACAATACATTACATATACATGAATACATTAACAAATTGTGATCCATTGTATCGGAGCATGCCTTCAATGTCATGGCCCGAGTTGTAGCTAGAGTCTCTTGGAGGGAGAGCGTGAGTTTACGTATAGATCTATACTGGATTGACTATCCTACACCTTGCTGCTAGCTACATCCGGACCTGCAAGTCTGCAGGTGCCAAACGTCATACCTTTTTACGACCTACATTTTTCGTTGTCACCTAGTCGATAGTACGGTACAATTAATCTCATGTTACCTTAATATAAATTCGGTTTAAGGTAGTTAGTACAGTAGTAGTTCCTATAATACAACACTACAGTACTACAATAAATTTACCTTTTACATACATTTAGTGAACATTTCACTTAAACATTAATGTACAAACTATATTTTGTTAATGATAGTTATACTTGGGAAAATTACACACTTTTACGATAAACGAACATACAAAAAAGTTATGCCTTGGTAGAAGGCTATTTTTAATAGAAAATATAGGTTTTTCTGAGAGATTCAAACTTTTACAAACACTTACAAACATTTACATACTTTTACCACCAATGCTTACAAACTCATGCTTAAAACCACGTTCAAAACGTTTTGATACAAACACCGACACTAAAATACTTATGAACTCACCAGCTTTAATGCTGATAAACTCTTTCAAAATAACTTGTATTCTCAGGTCATCAGTAAACAGGTACAGAGGCCAGCTTTTGAGAAGATGGAGCGCATTCAAGACTCATCTTATTATTTTGATTTACTTTTTGGTGTATATAACTGTACGGAACACACTTGTATTAAAATTATATATTTAATGCAATGGATGATGTTGTTTGCTTGTTTACTGTTATACTGTGTTGTGATACTTTACATGGCGTCCCCCGACCCAGAACGTTTCCGCCATTCTTGGTTTTGGGGTGTGACAGAGGTGGTCACGGCGGTGACAACCATCACCGATGTACTTCCCAGGCACAATTCTTTCTCGATCACCTAAAATGGGGGAGGATAGAAAGTGGCTTCTGCATGTCGGTTTTGAAAGAAGGAGGCATCAGATGAATCTGCTTCAGAAGGTAACCGTAGTACCACTACTCCTCCTTCATCGAAGCCATGATTTTTGATTTCTAACATATGAAATTTTAGTCTTTGATGGGAACTTATCAGCCCGGTCAGGAAGGAAGAGCCAAGACATAGCAGACGACATAAAATTCAACGTCATCGGCGATGGGGTTGTTCTTCCGGTACCACCAAGAAAATCTACACCCCTACCTACGTATTTACACATTTGAGGCAAGATTTGTCGACGATAACCCTAGGATAACAGGTATGAGGAGAGCATATTTAGGTTTGCTCCTTATTTTGATATTAGCAACCACCTGTTTGTGAAAATGCCTCACAAAGATAACATCATATTATTTTATATATGTTTGTATTTTTCTATTTTTTTACAAGTGAACTGCCTTTTTAATACCTGCTTCACTGTTAATTGTCTTTCTTTTTCGTTGCAAGAAAGGGGCGTAGCGTTTACTAGATATTTTAAATTGTTTTTCGGTACTCCATGGGTTGCCAATGTATTTGTGGTACCAGATACTGAGACTTATGTACAAAGAGAAGACGATTGAATACAAGTGGTATTAAGTTTTACCCTAAGTTTGATTTCTGTTATAACTACTAACTACTTATCCCATTTACAAGCCTTTTTTAAATTTTATTGGCTAATTGTGTGGTTTTCTTTGCTTCAAGGTCAAGGATGTTCGCTCTTCAGATTCTACTGTTGTTGCTAATTTATGCTTCCGATGGACGAGACGGTGACGATGAGATGTAGAATAAGGAAAATGGGCATTTAGAGACCTGATCTATATCTTGGCTGCGCAATCCGGATGGCACATGTTGTTCAGTCGAGATTTCTGTTCGGAAATTGACATGTGTTGCAACTGCGATTGCAGCCATGACGGATTTGGGCAAAACAAATTCGATTACAACAGATTCGAGCCTCCGTTCTCTCGCATCATGTGTTTTGGTGTAGGTACTTTACCATTATACGTTCCATGTTTTTAACAAATATATTGTCCTATTACTAAATCTTGATTACCTGCCTGTGGGGCTTTCCTTTAGCATGCCCGGCGGTGCCTTCGGTATCCATGTTCCAAAAGATTATTCATCGGATGGAGCATCAATGGTTGTTCTTGTCACCACACCCTTTGTGAAATATGTATATATATGGGGACAATGTGGGGTAACTGTGGTTGGTATCAGGTTTTCATTAGTGAAAATGGGTCGCTTGCAAATGCAAATCACGACTTAGGTATCACCTGCGAGCTTGGCCGATGACCTTGCCTTGGCTTGCCCTTGGTCGTAAAAGCCTCGACGTCGTTGGTTTGTTTGCAACCATGGAAGAGTCCCTATCTATACAATTAAAGCACTATCAGTAATATTTTTTTGGAAAGTTATCTATGGAAGGGCTATGATGATCGGTTTTGTATTTTTCTTGTGAGAAAATATAAAGATACATTGAAGATTGGTTCTCTGTAGCTTGGCTGGGCAACTTCCGGATGGTAAAGTCATAAGTGACTTTGCAACTGTGTTTGTTTGCAGCCATGGCAGTAGAGATGAGATTTAGAACCGGAAAACCGGATCGGAATCGGAACTGGAACCGTTAGAACCGGAATATCGGTTCTGGTTCCAGGTTTAAAATTGGCTTTATCCAGGGTTCTGGGTAATCCGGGTTTGGTTCCATCGGGTCCGGGTAAACCGGGTCTAAAAACTGGAGCCGGTGTTAGGAACCGGAACCACTTTTAGGGTCGGAACCGGTTTTTTTTGTAACGTTTAAAAGATGCATATCCCATTCGTTTCAACTCCGATTGACATGTGGTTTTTTCCAACATGTAGTTTAGAGTCTGTACATGGTTTTAGACTATAAATTTGACATTTTTAGTTTTATATTCATTGAATTACAACCCCTCAAAGTCTAGATATTAAAGCTGGAAGTTTTGAGTTTTTCAGTTTTTTGTATTCGGTGAAAGTTTTAAAACATGCATATCTAATTCTTTTGAAGTCGGATTGACATGTGGTTTTTTTTCAACTTGTAGTTTACAGTTTGTACATGAAATTAGAATATAATTTTGTCATTTTTGGTTTAATATTCAATGATTTACAGTCCTCCGAAGTCGGTATATCAAAACTGAAAATTTTCAACTTTTAAGTTATTTGTTTTTGTACTTTGTATTCTGTGAAAATATTAATACATGCATATCTCATTTGTTTAAAGTCGGATTGGCGTGCGGTTTTTTCCAAAGTGTATTTTAGAGTTTGTACATGATTTTAGACTATAATTTGTTAATTTTGGTTTCATATTCAATGAGTTACAGTCCTCCAAAGTCGGGATATCAATATGAAAATTTTCAAAGTTCAACCCACTAAGTAGTAAGTAATTACCAAAAAATTCTGGTTTTTCCACTTTATCCGGTTCCAACCTACCCACTTTGATGTTTCCGGGTTTTCCGGTTCTAGACCCACTTTACCCGGTACCGTACCCGGAACTGGTTCCTATATACCGGTCCGATTTCTGGTTCTAAAAAATCCCGTTAATCGGTTCTGGGTTTTCCGGGTCCGGGTCCATCCGGTCCGGGTTTGGATCCACTTTCATCCCTACATGGTAGAGTCCCTATCTTCTTTGTCACCACTCCTTACTTACAGATATGTGCCTAAGGACTTTCCTAGGCAACTTCCATTTTGAGACCGCCTCTCCCTTCTTCTACTTTCGATTAAGATCAAACATGTTTTCGGTTTTTCTTTTTAGCGACTTTGCTTCTTTATTTCTCGGCAGGTACAGGCCGATCCTTCATCTAGATATGGTTTGTATTTTGGGCTTAATGTGATTTTAATTATACCTATTAAAACTGGCAGCGGAGGTGGTTTTCAGCCAGATCCAATACCAACTGGTTTTGAAGGAGCTTCGTGTATCCGTTCTCGCATCTGGAATCAGTTCAGGTAAAGGGCTTCAATTTCTAATTTCGTTTCTTCCTACGCACCCACATTCGTATTTAGTTTTAATTTCATGTGATTTTAGATAATCAAATGAAGGAGAGCATATCGCATTAGGTTTTGGCGCATATGTCTTGGTCCAATTCGTTTCGGTTCAATTTTATGCTACTCAAGTTGGCATCAATATGATTTATGTATTTATTTTATTTATCTTTTGGTAATATTTCATATGACCTGAATCTGATGTCAAATATCTTCATTTTATTGTTGCTTTAGGAAGATGACGAGTGTACCCTTGAGGAAGATGATGCTCTTATAATAGAAGATGAAAGATGATACAATTGGCTGATTTCAATGTCCTTTAGTTGTCTAGGGGAAGACCTCTACCAGTTTACTTGAATGAGGATACTAATGTCTCTTTCAATAGAACAAAGCTTTTACCTGATTTTAACTTGTGGGGTGATGTTCAAGTGCATTAGTGATGTGGACAAATGTCTTCAAAATTGTATGTATCGAGCCTTCATGATCTTTTTACCAAATTTTGTTCTGTTTTCTAGTTCTCTATTCAAAATCAAAATAAATAGGAATTTCAAGAAAATAATGGTGTATCAGATCCTTTTTATGCCTTTTCTTCTCTTTTTTTAATCTTTTTGTAACTAAAATTACCACACGTACCATTTGAATCGTGTTTTTTCTAGAAAGATGCTGAGAGGCTAGTGAACCAGTATCCAAAGAACATGGGTTTTAGAGTTAATTTGTGAAAATTCTGTCAAATAGGGTTTATCCCCTGTACACTTTTTATATTGATAAAACCTAAAATTATCCAAAACCACATTTATTATTTATTTATACGAATTACTTAGTAAAGTTATCTTAATTTATACATTTATTATTTATTTAGTTATTATCATGACAAACTGCTACTTTCTATTATTTGAAATAATGTCTCAAGTTTCTTTGCATTCCTGAGATTAATAAAAGCCTTAGCTTTCAATAGTTGTTTGTTTTCTGTTTTGATATTTTATTTGAATGTAACCGTATTTTATAGTAGTTTATTTGTTTAGAGGTTGATAGATTTGAAGATTTTGAGGAAGACTTAAAGATTTGAGGCTACAGTGGTATTTGGAAGGTAAATGCTAAGAAGTTGAGTTTACTATTATTATGTTATATAGTTAGGATTTTGAGTTTACTGTCAATTTCATGTTTTGGTTATGGCTATTTATAAAATTTTGATTTTTTGACCTGCCTTTAGTTAAGAAAATACCATTAGATTACCAATTGTATCAATATTGTCAAAATCTGTCAAATTTATGTTGAATCCGTGCTGTCAAAATGTATCGATCTGTTAAATCGTTACTTTGAAGTTACTGCTGTTTGAATCTTAGAAGTTGTTGTCCAAACATTTTTAAATGTACAAATATTTATTGTTGCCCGTTGGCGTTGACTATCAGCATGATCTGGTTTTATGTTTCATGCTTTGTGTTATTTAAGATTTTGAAAGTTAATAAGATTATTATTATTATTTTTTTTTTATATTTTTTTAAGTTTTCCAGTGGGACTCAACTCATGTTTTCCTTTAACTATTATGTAACGCTCTTTTCATTTAAGGAATATTCATAATGATATAAGATACGTTTGTTTTCCGAATCTAGCTGGACTTCAAATGAAGAAACTTAGGGGTTTTTGCTTTCTTCCCCAATTCTATTTTTTGGTTCTGCAGTGCAAAATTAGGAACTGTGGTTGTATATTTGGATAAAAATAGTTATGTTTTGTTTTGTTTTGAAATGATGATTGCTTTGACTTGTTTGTCTGTGTCAATCTGATAAAACATGTACGACAACTACGTGGCAAAATGACTGAAATGATGATTGTTTTGCTTTGTTCGTCTGGTCTCACCTCTCTCTACAGTGGATATCAGAGCCTCTCCGATCAAATCGGGTATGCTTTTCTACTTTATGAGTTTTTTTAGGTGATTTACGCTAAAGTGCTATCAACTATGAGGAAAATGACTGAAAATGGATATTAATTGGCAGGATTTGCATAATGATAATACATGAAAAAAATCCTTCGAAAGCAGACAAAGCTGCCGGTTGTTGTTGTACACAAGTAACCGTTTGTTTAGATTCAAACTACAGATTTCAATTCATATGGTCGTCAATCCATATTACAGTTCCAGTTAGGGTAATTTGGCGAAGGGTAAAGTTCGAAAATCACCACAATATAACTTTTTTATTGCATAATTGTCTTCGGATTCTTAAAAGTAGCAAGTTATTTTCTTCTAAATCCATCAAATTCTTACAGGTATGGTAACTATGGTCGTTTTCGACCCGATGCAATTGATCCATACTTATTTATCATTACAGTTAAAGCCTATTGGTAACTTTTCCTGCTTATAGTATCGTACATGCTGAATCACAAAATTTTCTTTTATCAACATAAAGTCATACTTATGTTCTTCAATTTTAATATATGTTTCAGGGAATAACATATCCGAGAAACACAAACAAACCAAAAGTGCCATGAGAAGAGAAAAAAAACAAGGGAGACAGAAAAGATAACAAAGGAAGAAAGTGAGAAAGAGAGACTAAAATATTGATTTTTAGCTGCTATTGGTCAAATTTACGGTACATGACACTCACCTGCCAAGTATATCTTCTTTCTTTTGATGAGGCTAAATTATAGTAACGACAAAGAATTAAAGCATCAGATACAAAAACATTTTTTTTTTACTTTTTTATTTTTTATTTTTTACAATTAGGAGTTTTTAAGTAAAAGTTTCACACCTTTGACAATCAAACTGGATATGGCTTTAAAAGGATTTTAGAATAAATTCACGTCAAAAAATTTCAATTTTAAAATCTATTATAGTGATTTGTTAAAATACTCATGTAATTTCAATTTTTGCTAGAAAAAATATATATTAAATGTTTTCTTATGTCAAAAATCACACTAACTTGAATATATTATCGAAAATCATAAAAAAGAAAAATATAAAATTAGACAGTTTCAAAAAGTCCAAACAATTAATAATTTAATAAAAATATTTCTTTAAATAAAATGTTTATAATATTTATGTTTCCATTACATAAGTATGGGTTTTGATTAGCAAAAAAAACTACATGTTCAAGTTCTGTTGCAGATGAAATATATAGATTACTAGGTACATATGTAAACTTTCCCTAAAAAAAACAACGTATGTCTCCAAAACTACATGTCCAGGTTCTCTGCACATGTTGAAACGGGTTTCAATACCCTAAATAGCAACATGCTTTAAAATTTATATGTATTTTTTTTTTTTGCAATTTTTTTTAATTCCTTTACCAGAAAACAAACATAGATTGTCATTTCGTACATCTTCCATTTTTTACAAACAACAAAAAAAATTATCACATCCGACCCCCGCAACGCGGGGGTTCCCCACCTAGTTATAAATAATGTTACACGTAAATTAAAAATTACTTTGAAACCTAAAAATTAAAATCATTATACTTATCTTTCATCGTGCGTTGGAACTTGTTGAAACGGTAATCAGGTGGAAGATCCGGATGAGACGGCGTGTTTATTATTTTGAAGTCGTTGTCTAGGTTTTGTCCTCTAACTTTTTTTTTAAGAAAGTCAAGATGATCATCAAGTTTTTCCGAAAGCATTTGAACGGAATTTGGTTTTGTTTCAACGACTTTTGTTACTTTTGTCCCTTGTCGATGAAGATGTCACCTTTTTTGCCTTGTCCCTTCCCACTGGGCGTCAAAGGGTGACCCATCTGAGTTCCTCGTTATCATCATCATCTTCATTGAGGTCAATTCCCAAACCTGCTTTAGAGTCCAAAGTTCTCGCTCGTTTGTTGGAGCCAATGGATTGCGTTTGCGAGTGAGTAAGTGCAATCGGATCAAGGAACCATTTTGGATTGGCAAGCAGAACACGCCAAGCTTTTTGATGGCCAAATGGTTTACCACCATGGGTGGTTTTGTATTCTTGAAGAGAGGTGCTTAAAATGTCGAAATCATTACACCCATTACGACGCATGTTTGTGAGGTTGAGGTAAATTCCATTGAAACTTGTACAACTGCTTCTTACCTTATGACATTTTCCATTAACACTGTAGCACCTGGTTCTCGGTACGTACTCCTTGCTACTTACTTTTTTAAAATAATGTATTTTGCCTTGGACTCGGCGATTTGATGGGCCAAATCGCCGAGTAGGAGTGGGACAAGGTACGAGAGTTGGACTATGGACTCGGCGAGTCGGTCCCCGGACTCGGCGAGTAGGCCCTGGTTGGGTAAAAACCTTAATTTGGGTGTTTGCACCCTATTTAAACACTCTATCTTGGCCTCCTTTGTCCCTAACACTTCCAGAGAGCATTAGAGTGAGACCCTAGCCCCCATATTGTTCTTAAGAGTGTTTTTGGCCTTGTGAAGGAGGTTGGAGCTTAGAAGAAGAAAGAGGTGGTTGAAGAAGTGCAAGGAAAGTAGTAGATCCGAACTCTACTCAGGGAGAAGCTCCCATTCAGGTAGAAAAGTCTCTACCTTGATCTTTAGATCATTAGTTACCATTTTTGTCCCAAATGGGTGGTTTTCAAGCCCTAAAACACCAAACTCCATGTGTGGTGCTTAATGATCCGAAAGGACTTCTAATCTGGGCTTATTGGATGAATTAGTAGCATAAAGTTCCTGTGGTTGAAGTGATTAAGGTCCCCATTGAGTCTATGACCTCTTGAAGAGCTTGGTTTTGGCCTTTTGAGCTTATAGGGCCATGCATGCATGTAAAGTTTGCAACTTTACGTGATAAGCATGCTCAAGGAACATGGATCTATGGTTTTGAAGCGTTGCATGTCTCAGATTTGGCCTATATGAGAAATGAATCATAGGGACTCGGCGAATCCCAAGGAGGAACTCGGCGAGTTCCATGAAGATGGCCTTAGACTCGGCAAGTTGGATGAACGACTCGGCGAGTCCTATGAAGATTGCCCGGAACTCGGCGAGTTGTTATTCAAACTCGACGAGTTGGGTCACGAGTCAGTTCAATCATCCTAAGTCATGAGTTAAGGGTGATTCAGTGAGTAGGAAGAAGGACTTGTTGAGTAGGACCGGGTTAGTAGGAAAAGGACTCGGCGAGTCCATGCCATGACTCGGCGAGTCCAGTCAAATGGACATTGACTTTGACCAAGGAGTTGACCTTGGGCCGAGGGAGGGTCAGTCTTTTGACCTAAGGGTATTTATGGGTGCCTAACCTATGTTTATGGTTTATAGCCGAAGGATTTGCGATCCAGCAGTCAGACGCTCAGCAAGCAGACTTCAGCAGCTACTTTCGAGGTGAGTTACCCTTCAGTAGCGGTGGGTCTAAGGCCACAGTGCCGGCCCACCAGTAGGAGACGTATGATAGATGATTGTCTTTGTGATATCATCTAGGTTTGCTACTACCCGATATGTTATATGCTAGCATGATATGTTGTATGTGATAGTAGTAAGGTTCGGTTGTTAGGACTGAAGGGTAGTCAGACACCCCAGACACGTCTGACAGTATGTGATTATATGTTTGCATGCTGGCTTGTTATGTTATATGTGATAGAGATAGTAGGAGGGGACCAGTCCCCGAGTTCGGTTGATAGGACCGAAGGGTGGTTCAAGCACCCCAGATATGTCTGATAATATGTTATGTTATGATATATGTGATAGTATCAGTAGGGGTGAAATAGTCCCCAAGGTTCGGTCGTTAGGACTGAAGGGTAGTCAGCACCCCATAATGGCTTGACATGGGTAGTCAACACCCCAGAATGGCTTGACACGGGTAGGTCGACACCCCAGAATGGCCGTACCGGGTAGGTCGGGCACCCCAGAAATGCCTGGAAATATGTATGATACGTGATTGTATGGTATGTGGTATGATGGGGGAACTCACTAAGCTTCGTGCTTACAGTTTTCAATTTTGGTTTCAGGTACCTCTTCTTTAAAGGGGAAGGAGCTGGCGCGGTAGCAGCACATCACACACACGCTCTGTATTCCGCACTATGAGATCTTCCTGGGGATTTGTCCTCTGATTTTATTATGATTTTATAAACTGGTTTCCAGACGCGCACATCTTTTATGAAATGATATGATCAGTGAATGTTTTATTCTAATGTTTTGCTAAGTATGTGTATTTAAAAATGAAATTTTTGGCTCGTATTTTTGGGATGTTACAAGTTGGTATTAGAGCCCTGGTTTGAGGGATTCGGACACACCTTCGGGGGTGTCTGGACTCAAATCGAGGGATTAAAATAATTTGAAAAAGAAAATGTTTTCTAAGAGTTTTTTTTAAGAAGAAACGAAGCGTGTGATGTGCACGACCGGCCGAGCTCAAGTAAGTATTCCCCAATGTACCCATACAAGTTTATATATGTTTATCAGTTCCTGTAGAATAGCATGCTAGAATAGGACTAAGGATCTAGGAGTGATGCCTTATGTGCCTGCTTTATGTGCTTCAGTATATGAAAATTGCATGCTAGGATTGAGTAGACAGTAGTAGGATAGCCTGTTTAGGTTATACCTGATAGCATGAGCTTGGCATTGTATGCTAGTACAATTTCCCATTATGAGGATGGAATTGCTTGAGTAGCCTCCTATGTATGAATGTTGCTTGCTTTGTGCTTTGTGGGACTCTAAGTGATGGGAGTTAGCTATTAGTTGAATGTGTCACATCACCTGCGAATAGGGTTGAATAATCTCAGAGTGCTAGACTTGTCCCTATTGCGCAACTCTTGTCTGAGTCTAACCGTTGTAGGGACGAGTCTTTTACTTGAAGGATTATCTGAGCCTTACCGCATGTGATGGTATTCAGGTGATGGCTAATTGGCATCACAAGGAGGCTTTCAGTAGCTGAGGACTGGATCGGGTATAGTCAGAGGACTCCCTAGGGCAAGCCTAGGATGAGAGTAGCAGAAATTATTAGCAGTAATAGTGACTTGGTGGAGTCAAGGCAGTACGTGAGGAAAATACGGATAGATGTGGAAGGTAGTATGGGCCCGTACTACTGGAAGCAGAGGATCCGTACTTGAATCAAGGAAGGCTGAGATGAGACCAGGAAACTTGTGGTAGTAGTGATCCCTCGAGATATATCAGTATTCCTGACATTTTTATGTTGTGTTTCAGAATGGTGGTGTTGCGCCCTAGACCAGTAGTTGGCAGTTCAGGAGAGGGATCGGGTTCAGGATCAAGATCAGGTTCTGAGCCGGTGGATAAGGGGCTACGCGATTTCATCGCGTCAGAGATCACCAGGGGCATCCTTGAGTCGACCCCCATTATCTCCGGGTCGATCAAGGAAGGGATAGTTGAGTTGATGGAGGATCGCCTCTGAGCATTCAGGAGCGACATGGCATCTATCCAGTCGGGATCCCGCACACTGTCCTTTAAGGACTTCAGAGGTAGTGGTGCGCCAGATTTTCACGGGGCGAAGGAACCCATAGCTGCCAGGCGATGGATTGCAGACATTGAGTCTACACAGATGATTAGCTTCTGCCTTGAAGGTCGAAGGTGAGGTTTGCGGCGGGGTGTTTACGAGATCGAGTTAGGGATTAGTGGGAGTCCGTGAGGGACTCGTTGGGAGCCTCGGTTGTTGAGGCTATGACCTGGTCGAACTTCGTGACCAGGTTCAGGACAGAGTTTGCACCGGCTGTCGAGCTTCAGCAGCTGGCCAGGGAGTTCTTGGATATGAGGTAGTCGACGGAGACTGTGGTGGAGATCACCACCAAGTTCTGGGGGAGGGCATTGTTGGTGCCCCAGTATGCGGGTGATGAGGACATGAGGAGGAATCGCTACCATGACATGGTCCGAGTTGATATTCGAGAGCATGTCAGTTTTTCAGCTTGCCCTACCTTGGACTCTATGATTGCCAGGGTGAGGGAGAGAGAGATAGATCTGGAGCACATCCGGAAGAGGAAGACAGAGGAAGGACAGACAGGAGGGGCTTTGGGGAAAAAGCCTAAGGGATCAGATGGTAGGCCAAAAGGCCAGTCAGGACCGAGCCGCTGCAGGAAATGTGGCAGACCTCATGAGGGGGCATGTAGACTGGGATCGTCGGGCTACTATAAGTGCGGCAAGTCGGGGCTTTTCAGCAGGGATTGTACCGCCCCTGCACCTATGATACAGACGTCTGAGTTGTTGTGTTTCCACTGCAACCAGAGGGGCCACAAGAAGGCCATTTGCCCTCAGTTGACAGCACCCGCGCTAGTGAAGGCGCCAGCTCCAGCGACCCTGCGGATCACTGATGGCTGGCAGGGCAAGACAGAGGCTCCAGTGGTGAGGAGCCGGGCATTTCAGCCGACTACCAAGGAGGCACGTGCCGCACCCGATGTGGTGATGGGTATTATTCCTTCCTTCTATTTTATTTTCATGCTGTTATGTTATTGATATGTGCTCTGTGTATATGCTTTAGGATCGTTCCATGTGAACGGTATCCCTGTTCAGGTGTTGTTTGACTCGGGTGCTACCCGATCGTTTGTTTCTCTTGCGCTTAGCAAGAAGTTTACTGAGTCTTCAGACATGTTGGATTGCCCTTTAGAGGTAGAGATCGCCGAT